TGTGTGTGTGTGTGTGTGTGTGTGTGTGTGTGTGTGTGTGTGTGTGTATTTGTGTACTGTTTATGTGTGTGTCCTTCGCATGTCTCAACAGCTGTTCCTCCGATCTACTTCACACTTGGTGGGTGTGTTGCTGGGGACCCAAGGGAGTGCCATGTTGAATTTGGAGCTTCATATGTGAATAGTTCAATATGAATAAACATAATAAACAGGTTAGCAGCGCACTGTTCAGGCCTCTTCAGACTCGAGCATGTTGCCTGCAGCGGGCCTGCTCACTTTTGCTGCTGGATGCTGGACGTTACAACCGGACTCTTCACTTCTCTGGAATCAACATGAGTCAACTGGAAGCAGCATCGTAGTGTATTTCACCGCTGAGTAAGCTGTGGGTGTGTTTTTCCCCCATGAATGAATTTCTCTGCTGTGAGACGTAAAACTAACTTATGACACTAATGATGTTACTGCCAGCAATATACCTCCGCTAATTAAATCCATGCTCTACTTTAGAACTGAGGTATGTCAAAGCAAGTGACTAATACGCCTCCTAAGTGTATTTCACCGATGTTCAGTGTGAGTGACCCTGACACAGGTTTGTTTTTCAGGGGCAGATTTAGGGATTTTTGGGTTCCAAGATATCGCTGCCTTGCTTTCCGTTTCACCCTTATACTCTAACTGGGAATGTTGGTATTGGCAGTGTTAGAGGAAAAAAGCTCTGTAGTAAAATTATTAACTAATAATAGTAAAACTATTATTACCACACAGTGAAAGTTCTGCATTCACATGTTTACTTCAAGTGAAGAGTGAAAGAGAGGCATTATAAGCATAATGTACTTAAATGTACATCACTCTGTTCAAGGTGGAGCTTTACATTCTAATATGATGCTGGATAGTTAATGAATTAATAATGAATCATATTTGAGTTGTTATATTTTGTGAGTCAAATCTGAACATAACCAGTAACATTTCTTTGTCAGGTAAATGTAATAACAGCTTCTGGTTGGCAAATGAAAATAAGTGGTTACCGAGTCCCTCACAGGTTAATTTAACAGTGGAGTTTGCAGCAAGATATTCATGGTAAGTTTGGTGCAGTGGCCACAGTAGGAACTGCAGCTGACGTGACCCTTCGATTCTTTGCATGTACACATTTCACAACATAAACAACTGTATTTGGTTGGTTATGTATAGGTTGCCAGATCTGGTCTGTGAGCACAGGTGTTGTTGTTGGTCCCTTTACAGGCATAGCAGTACTAAACCTGGCAACCTCACTATGACGACAAAGAGTCTTGTTGCTGTGACATGAAATAGTCCCAGCTTTCTGTAGTGGCACACATTGAAGGTTATATTACAGGTCCGTCTCCCTGCTGCACAGCTGAACAGCAGCTCTGCCAGCTGGGCCTCACGCTCCATGTAACCGGCCAGTTTGGCACACCAGTGCTCATGCTTGGCATCCTCTTGGAAACACTGCTCACAGAAAAAACCTGCTCTACACCGGGCGATTCGGAGAGATGCATTTAAACACAGACGAAGGGGGCAATGAAAGAACATCCAGTACCAAAGCAGGGAGTCCTGCACAAGCGGAGGAAGGAACTCAGATACAATTACAAAGAGGATTGCTATGAAAACACTGACATTACAAAGAACCGAGTAGAAAATGGTTTTCTGACAAAACAAAGCATGTGAATAAAAGTCAGCATGTGTCAACAGGGAAACGATGTGTGGAACAATGTGGCAACATTTCACAAGAGAGTTAGCCTGTTTTATCTAACTGCTGTGGTTCCCCGAGGGTTTCTAACGTATTCTTCTTAGGCTTCTTATACTATCTTAAAGTTAACACAGGAAGTGGAAAGTCCAAACTAATAAAAACTGTTGGACTCCAATAAGTAAGCCGTTGCTGTTTTTTTTACAGGATTTGTGAGTAATGAATTCCTTCAAAATTCAACCAGTTAACTGACACCTTTATCCAGACCAGTGAAGTACCAGGTTGCCAGGTAATGCATGAATGCCATTTGGCTACACAGCAAAGTAACCAGTTAATCCGTAGTGACAGCTGCCAACAGTGTGAAGAAGCCTGAAGAGGTTTAAGAAACTGCTCTGTACCACAGGAAGAATAAGCTATAGACAGTCCTGAGCCTGGCAGCCACAGTCAGCTGGTCTCTGCAGTGCAAATGAAGTGAATAGACTTGACCTGCAGGCCCTGGTGGAAAACACCTTAATCATCTGCTCACACGGTCTACAGACACAGCATGAGGCAAACTGACCAGCATGCTGATGATATAAAACTGAATGGATGTTTTTTGTTGTATATTGTAGAACTGAAAGTGCTTATATACGTTTGTGACCAACAAAATCACTTTGTCCTAAAACATATGTAATAGCACCAGCTAATATTTATTCACTTTAATTCTTTATTCTTTTTTTGAATCTGTCTTTCTCAATAATCCCAATTTTGTGGAAGTGAAAAATAAGTTGCTGGAATAAAAGCTCTCAGACAGCTAGAGGTTGCAACCTCCGCTTCAACTGTTTTCAATGTAAATGTCAGCAGACGTTGGTGGCATGGCAAGGACAGGGAGGCCAGCTGCCACTCTCTGTGATGCATTTATGATATTAGTTAGCAAAACTTGCTATGCTAATCATGTCATATTGCTAACCATTATTTCTCAACATTATTTCACAAACTCAAAATTGAGTATTGTGCCAATACAATGGCTGGAAATGCTGAGACAAACAAAACGTAGCAACCACTGGTGCTTTCTGTTTGACTGTGGCTCCCCCTAGTGGAGGCATCAACGATGACACTTACAAAACATGCAGCTACAGCTCCAATCCCCCTCAGCGTCCCACCCAGGGAAACGGAGATATGTGGGCTGAAAACTAGACTGCTCCAACTTCATCTTGGATTGTCTTATCTGTCCACAAACAAATACCATCAGAATATTTAATGACAGATAGTTCAATTTGTGCCTGTTGCAGCTTTAACTTAAATGACGAAACACTGTTGAAATCCACAGATTTGTAGACCACACCACAGAATGAAATGTGGTTAAGGTGTCAAAAACGATGCACAAAACATAACTAGAATGTTTCCTTTTTTTATTTGACAGTACAGTATAAGACATGGTGTTTGATTTGAATATAAACGTGTATATATACTATACTATACTGTATATATTAAGAAACAGTGTATCATAATGTTGACAATGCAGCATTAAAGGTATGATTTTAAGCACCGTGTTCAAAAATGTGGTATATCCTATTGTCTTGTTACAGTATTTGGCTTTTTCTGCACGTGTGTGTGTTTCTTTGATGAGTCCTCCTTCTTTCTGCTGCTGTGACTGCTCTGCTGCAGTCTGTAGGTTTTTTTAGCCTGGACTCTCTCCTTCTCCATGACCTCAGTGTCATCCAGAATCTCTAGGCCTGGGATCTGACTGATGACATACTGTCTAAGGAGACAAAGGTCAGGATAAATTCAACAATAAACAGAGAGTGGGAACGTTACATGAGTGTAAACGTTTGCACAACCCAATTGGGTCTGATTACGTTACACACGTTTTAATAAAGACTATGCACAGGGCTTTTGTTACAGTGTGTATATTAAAGAAGACTTTCTGCTTGTATGGTTATGACTTGAAAGGTACATTCATGGGCTGATTATGAGACCATGGGGAACTGGGCACAGACATGCAAAAGGCCCCACCACCTCTCCTACAAAAGATAAAGATAGATAGTCTTTATAGTTTAGCTTCTTTTTGTTGTTGTTTTGAGTCTCTTTACAGTTGTCTCTTTGTAGTGATTTTATGTCTCTTTGTAGTCATTTTGAGTCTCTATGTAGTTGTTTTGAGTTGCTTTGTGGTAATTTTTGTGTCATTTTGTGTCTCTTTTTAGTCGTTTTGAGTGTCTTTGTAATCACTTTGAGTCTCTTTGTGGTAATTTTGTGTCTCTTTGAAGACATTTCGAGTCTCTTTGTAGTAATTTTGTGTCTCTTTGAAGACATTTCGAGTCTCTTTGTAGTAATTTTGTGTCTCTTTGAAGTCATTTTGAGTGTCTTTGTAGTAATTTTGTGTCTCTTTGAAGACATTTCGAGTCTCTTTGTGGTAATTTTGTGTCTCTTTGAAGTCATTTTGAGTCTCTTTGTAGTAATTTTGTGTCTCTTTGAAGACATTTCGAGTCTCTTTGAAGTAATTTTGAGTCTCGCATTTTTGCCCTTTTGCTCTTTGTAGTTATGTTTCTTTGTAGTCAGTTTGAATCTTTTCTTTGTTGGTACATGTCTCCTTAAGTAACATTTATTTGGTGACGGTCAGGGGGGCCCCTGACACTTTGGGCCAACTGATGCATCTGTTGTAGCATTGTTCACTGGTGAGATAAAGATCCATGTCCGTTTGTCCATTAGTTTTGAACAAAAATGGACATTATATATTCTAAAATGATACACATTATCACTGGTTTGCCCGTTAACCAAGTAGATAATACTAATTAACTGGATCTGAACAGTTAATATTGAGCATTGGGGGACTTTTTTTCTTTTACAATATTCTGTACCCTGTTTTCTGTATTCTGTTGGTTTTCTATGTTGGAATTGTATATCGTTGTACTGTATGATATATATATATATATATATATATATATATATATATATATGTGTGTGTGTGTATGTATGTTGTGTTGTCGTGTGATATGATTGGTTATCCTATTTTGGCTTCCCTAAACTATAAATAAAATAGCAGAAGGATTGTTAATAAATACTTTATTCTTCATCAGAACTTTTAATATCAGACGGCACAAGTCCAAACCAAGTGAAAACCTGGAAGATTATTTTTTATAAAGAAAGAATATAAAGAGTGCATAGAGGGTTTTGATTTGTGTTAAATAGAACACATCTGTGCAAACTGGATCAGGTAGTGAAAAGGATGTCGTTTCTCACCTGTAGTCTTCGTACTGAGTCAGACTTCCTCCATTGAAATAGCTAGGGGCTGCCCCGTTGTTCATCATACTGAGGATCCTATGTTGGAAAGGAACATAGCAGCATAAAGAATAAATATCATGTTTATATGCACTAACATACTAATCCAGTGGTGGGCCATCAGGGCCAGCAAGGCCTTCTCTGCTGGCCTAAACAGAATCACAAAGTTATAGCTATTTTATAATTTAATCATTTTTCTTAAATACACTACATGTTTTATAATTTATAAAAATATTTTTCCCATTATCTTATTTTCTCATTGCACAGCTCCTGTCTTCCTCAGTTGCTCTGCTTCCAGTGCAGCTTGTTTTAAGGAGAGCTTTTATCCAATCAGATCTCACCTCTGTGTCTCTAGGTAAGAACAGAGGCCCGAGGCCTGCAGACTCACAAGTGCATCCATGTGCAGTTTAAGTGAATGGGGACGATATTGTTGATTGTCATAGTCTTCAACCAATCAGATCTTTAGTTTGACATGTTGGGCGTATTCTTTGACGTGTCAGAGCCTGCTTGCTGGCCTACAAGTACGTGATTGGTCAGTGGGCTAGCCTGACATGTTGGGCGGTGACAATCCCAATATCTGCTGCCTCTGCTGAGCAGACATTTTCAGCCTCAAATGCATTAAAACGTATTCAAGAAATACAACTGGGGAGGCTCGACTGTCTTCACTGGCGTCCATGAATCGAGAAGGACTTCTTACTGGAAGTAAAACACACGGATGTACTGAACAACCATGAGATTAAACTCTTTGTTAACAAAGAAAGGAGGATGGACTTTGTCTTTAAATAGTGAACAGCAGCTCTGGTAAGTGAACTGCTTTTGTTTTTACATCTGCAGTAGCTTTATATGCTTGTTTATATATTATTATTTGTACAACTTGTTTTTATGAAGATGGATTTTTGTTTGGTTTTATATGTGATAGGAACTATTGTTAGGTCCAATGTTGCTCTGGGGACACATTTAGCCAGTGTTGCCAACTTGGCGACTCTCTCGCTAAATCTAGCAACTTTCCAAACCCTCATGGCGACTTTTTTTGTCAAAAGCTACTAGTGACAAATCTAGCGACTTGTTCTGGTGTTGTTGGAGACTTTTGTGGTGTTTTGACTCGTGAAAGCGCGTACGTTCTGCACTGTCGTGAACGAGCAGCGGGAGCTGCCGTGATCCCCTCCGCCGCCCCAAAGCACACACAGACGCCTCGCGCAGCAGTCCCAGCTGCAGTCAGAGCAGAGAGGAGACGCACTCTATCTATAGGTGTTGGCTTCATTTTGACACGAAACAAATAATAACCGTAGCTGTGTTTCCGCTGCAGGACAGCAGTGAAGGCCCAGGTATAAAATGCACGGCCCGCCACTGGTAATAGCTCAATCCAAGGCTCACTTTATGTTTGGGAACTTCCGTCGGATTTCTTCCACAAACACAGGCAGATTGTTGATCTTGTTCTTGTTGATGCACACTGTGGTGACACTGGGCATGTAGGGGAACTTGATGTGAGATGTGTAGTTGTTGCAGTCCAGGATCAGAGTGCTGAGCTTCTCCAGCTGGCCCAGCAGAGCCGGGTTCCAATAAGGACTGAATGAAGGACAACACAGCAAACTCAAACTGCTCAGGTTTGTAAGTCTCTGAGGAAATAAACATTGAATGTATATCTGTGTGATTGATTTAATATTTACTAACAATATGTTGTTTCCTGTAATATGTTGTTGCAGAAATATAGAGGGGGCTAAACTATGACTTCAACAAGAAGTTCACGCACACAACTAGCAACACCCTGAACAGCTTTTGGATTTATAAACTTATCTGATATCTTTCTATAACTTCCATTTGTCAGCTCAGACAAAATAAATACCATTAGCTCCACCTCTTGGTCCCGCACAAACACTGTACCTTTCAGTTTCATCCTACATGGTAAGATTTCATGTGTGTCTTTAGCCATGTCGAGGAATTGCTTTAGAGATGGCAACGTCAGTTGGTCAACCAGTTTGACTAATACTGAAATATCTTGTCAATAATAAATAATAATTATCCCTAAAAGATGAAACCTACTAATTTGTTGATCCCCTGACTTCCATTCAACTGTTAGGCAAATTTTAAACAAACTTTTGAAATGTCAAATGCCAATTAGGGGCGTTTCCAATAACTGGTTTGAAGCAAATAAACTACAACGTGTAGTTTGCTTTAGGCTACACATGGCTGTAATCCACCAGTGATTCCTGTGTTGAAGAAGTGGAGATTGCAAACCGGAAACAAAAAGTTGCCTTCAACCATCTAACCTCCAGGAAGAGTGTCCGTCTTTGAAGCAAATTTTATATAGTGGCAAACGGTGGAAATCCAATTTCACGTGATGCCATTGGGCCCAAAAATACTTTTCCCTATAGACTTACATTGAGAAAGAGAAACTGTAAATCATCAAAAAAAAAATTTAGGCATCAACTTCCCATTACAAATACTTGAATAGTGCTTGTCATAGACTGTAAATGAGAAGTGTTGAAGCCTTGAGTTCAGCAATTTGCCAAGTTGTTTTTTCAACATAAACTAATCCTTGGAAGTCAAACTTTTTTTCCCTTCATGTGCCACTGAGCAACTTTCATAGGAATGAACGGGGGTGCTGCCTCCAACGCTGTATTTTCTGTACATCCATGCTTCTTTTCATTTCTTTTCATGTTTCACACATATATGTTCCCTTCAAGATAAATTGTAATAACTCTACAATATTTATTTGTCCAATACGTATTACCAAATTAATACCTGCAAAACTAATGACATTCCCTTGACCGTTGTTTCAGATAAGGAAAAACTCCACAAACAAGACCAGGAAATAACAAACACTGGATCACGGAGTAGTCGTTTGGTCTTTAAACTTCTGGTTATTAAGTGAAGGATACTCATCCAGCAGGTTGTAACTCAGGTCCAGCACCTCCAGTGAGTCTGTCTGTTGCAGAATGGTTTCATAGGGGATTTCTGTTAGACTCTGGTAAGCAAAAGAAAGCCACTGAAAGCTTGAGGTGTGGCTGGGTTGGCTGTGTTGGCCGGAGGTGGGATGATCCATGACAAAAAACAACAACTCAGCTGCTCCTCTTCCCTTGTGTTGATGGAGATGAGGAGAGAAGTCAGATGATTATGTCATGATCAAAATCTTTAATAAAAAGCACAACAATAAACTGTTAATAGATATGAATAACTCAGAACAGAGTCTGACGAGTCAGAAAGAAATGATGTTTGAGTTTCAGCTGAGTAGAAATGACACATGACACATTTCATTCTCCAGGCTATAGTATATACTCCATTTACAATTTACCCCTGGAAGAATGACACCACACATTTTGTAGTCTAAAGACACGTATGCGTTCTAATAGAGACTAATGGGAGGATTGGGTCCACATTACATTGCGATCTGGAGAAAGTAACACTGAGATCATCTGAAAAGTATTGCTGTAGTGTTGATGCAATTAAAGTAGAAAAACACACTTTTTATGTGTCTTTCTTCAATTTGTAACAAACACATCACATTCACATTACGTGATACTTGAAATGTGGCTCTGTCCCAAGCTCCAGCTAGCTAGTTCTTGATGAACAACAGTGTATTAATCCGCCCAGAGTGGCCTGCACATATCCACTGTAAGGACAAGACTCTATGAAGCGGTGTACAGTCACTGCTCCAACCACAAATCCTCTAAACCCATATATGTTGATTTTACATTTCAATTAGTATTTTTGGGCAAATTAAAAAAATTAGACACAACATATTGATTAGTGAACTCTAGATGTGTTGGTATTGGCGTATTTTAAGCTTTGGTCAGTCTTAATGCTAAGCTAGGCTAACAACGTCCAGACTTCAGAAGCCGGTGGCACCACCTGATCCTTACTACGCCTGGTCCTAACTGCTAAGTCGGTCTTCTTTAAGACCACTCTTTAGAAACATCGGTTGCACCAACCAAACTTAATCCTAGTCTTAACTATACCTGGTTTTAGTGGTGCGCGTTTATCTGCATGCCCATACGACTATGCCTATTGCCTAGCAGCGCAGGTTGCTACATGGTGTTAGCAATCTCCCCCTGTCTTGACAATTTGTAGCAAATAATTTGTAATTTGCAGCAACGTTACGGAGGATCAAAGAGAAAAAAGAGATGAATAGAGCTGTAGAGCCAGCACGAGAACAAGCAGTACAACCTATAGAGACAAATAAGAAGAAGCAGTCGATTGGAGAGAGATAACAGTGGTGATAAATGATTGTTCAGACTCAGGCAGCCTTTGCTCTGAAAAATGATGTAAAGAAAAAGTGGAAGAACCTATAAAAAGAAAGGTGTTTGCTCTAAAACACCCACCAGGGTCCTCCCCAGAAAACGTCAGAACACAGTGACATAATACTTAACACACAGACATGAGATTGATATCAATCATCTCTCTAAAAGAAAGTCAATACGCTCTATTTTTTAATAATCAATTACCATTTCAAAGATTACAAAATAAACAAAAGACATTTTGAATGAAACTGTTAGCTGGCACATGTAACAATAACCTGGATACTTTAACCAGAATACAAGTCATATATTGTTTTTAGAGACACTAGTGTGATGGTCTATGGTTCGCCGGCTGACATAGTGACATCGTCTTAACACAAAATGCTCAGATATATCAGAAATGATAAAGACAAAAAAAAAAACTGAAATGCTTCATTAAAACAGCACAGAAGTAAAATGAGCTTATAACAGCCACTAAGGCCAAAATATGTTGACCTGAAAACTGCAGCCACAGGGTGTGTTATGTCACCTGAAAGCCTCTTTACTCTAAAACATATTATGGATTATATTATGTAAGTATAGTCGCTGAGAGAGATATTAGGGTTCATATCATTCAAAGCAGGAATGTTTTTGGTATTAAATTGTCTTTTCATAGCCCATGCTGGCACATGACTGTGAGGTAAGTACTGATAGTTCACTTAACATGTTACCTGGCAGCAAAGTACTCTATTCCATTAAACACTCTCAAAACTTACTGCTGTTCTAAATGCTACTATCAAAGGTTTTGCAAATAACATGTTTTATGATTTACAGTAGTATACACACCATAACAACATGTTGGCACTGATCGTAAACTGCACACATATTTCAGGTTGTCCTGCTACTTTGTGAAACCCTTAAATAAGAATCTAGATGCATTATAGACAGTTTTAGCAGGACTTACCGAGCTGAAGAGCATCTGGTCGATCTTTTCAGTCCATGCAAAGCTCTGAGAAATGCTTTCAGCTCATATAAAAGGCCCTCTTTCATACCCCCGGCTGTAGATCACATGATGGGGATAATCACATTGCTGCTGAACCTTGTGGTCCAGATCTTCACAACAACACGGCTTATAAACAGAGAAGATATAGTATATATATATATGAAATAAAGTTTTACTGTACGCAATAACAGATAGATTGCTAATCATAGACAATGGCATATTATTGGAATGAAAAATTACATTTTCTCTATAATAGGGGGACATTTTGGAGTAGATGTTCACACACACATGACACATCACAGATGATTACACAAACACTGATTTCATTCTTCGAGGAGATACTGTAAGATCATTTCTACAAAATCTTAAATGAGACCTTTCTTAATTGAATTCAACACATTCTATAAATGAAAAAATAAGTGAACAAAATATTCCATTAGAGCTTAATTTACACAAATCAACTATGATTTTATTTTTTATTTTGAAAACAATGTTGGTGCTTTTTTCCATTTACAGTAACAAATAAACATGTTTATGAATGGAAATAATGAGGCTTGAAGAGATCTTTGAAGAAATGAAGCGTTCTAATCTTCATAGAAATATGTTGAAACAGACTTCTCAATGAGCACTTCAACAAAGTGGATGCAGATGTTCTGTCCATGGCCGGCTTATCTTTTTATGAGTTCCCCTGGCAAATATTCGCTGGTGGGCCCCAATGCCCCCCCATCCTCCCCACCAACACCACCGCTGTCTGTGCATTGTGTGTGTTCCCATCCACCCCCAGCATCCCATCGAGAACACGTAGCAGTTTACACATGGCATTTTCATTATATTTTGCCTGTAGACACGGAAACCAAGAAGTACTCCTCTGCTGGAAGACTATAGCAATTAGGTTGCAGTAATCTGATTAAACACAAATGAATTTAGAATATGCACAATGCAAGCACATGATAATGCAGATCAAACAATAAAAGCTGTAAAACAAGATTCGGACACAGGGTGCCTTATAATGAATGTTGCAGGAGCTGTAGAAAATAATAAACAATATCAACAAGCAGATTTAAGAATTTATCTCTACCACGAACCAACAGTGAATCAGGACACCCTGTTGGTAATACAGCCTTGGTTCTGTCTGAAATAAGTAAAATACACTACATACCTTTTTTAAAAGTCTCTTTTGAGCTTTACATATATTCTACGGCAGCCCAGATAGGCAAGTGAGAAAAACAATCGATGGTCCATTTCCTAAGTCTAAGTTGTTTTCTGTCCTGTGTTTATGACTAAAGAATAATTGAAACAGTTATTGCCAGGAGAATCTTTCTTTTTTTTTAATCTGTCAAACAAGTGGAAAAAGATTTTACCAGGATAATTTTTTCACAGATAGAAAAAAGTGACTTTGTTTCACAGATTTTAGGAATTTTGATAGATTATCATGGCAAAACCTTCTTTTATGGGGTCAGATCAGTCTCAATAGTATTGAATGCTCAAAGAGGGATTCACAAATGCATTTTGTGATTTATATATAAATCTCTCCACAAAAATATTTGTTGTTGCACACACAACAGTTATCATTATATATGATTGTTGACAAATTCTACATATAAAAACAAGTCACAATTTCTTTTTAAATAAATGTATTAGAAGTCCACAAATATATATATTTAAAAGGATTTTAAATTGTTATCAAAAACATATTTGGTTGTCATTACATTAATACAAAAACTTTTGAACTTGCATTTACAAACTGCTTGTCATGAGTGAACTTCACTGCATTAGTTTGTGGGGCTTTTGAGACTCCGATGATGCTGCTTGATTCACAAATGCCTTATTTTCAACAGGGATTATTCTGTAACCAATCAGATGCCTCCTCCATTTTCAACCAATCACATGAGCATGACCCCACAAGGATATTGGATGGTGCAGGGATAAGTCCTTAAACCAGGAAATGATTTTACTTCCGGTTCCTTTGTCTCAATTCAATGTTTTTTTTTGAATGGGTCTATTGACAGATGTCTGACATAAGATCTGTGATTTACACAAGCTAAAGATAATTTAACGTTTTCTTCTACAATATGAATTACGTCAGTAGATACCCCTCTTGTGAATTTTGAAGCTTTTAAGTGTCTTAAAAAGGCGGTTGCTAACAAGTGGCTAAATGAGAGTACAAAACATCATCATGCCAACTAGTCCACCTTCACAGCCTTGTTGTGTAGACTTGTGCTCATGCGAGTGGTGGGGTTCGTTTATACCCTTAGCAAAAATCCCAAATCCAATCGAAATATCCTATTGGCTTTTTGTACTGGAACCAGTGGGATGCTAGCTAAATCAATAAATATTTGTTTGTGTGTCAGAAATATATTTGTGAATCTTACTTTATACATGTGGATTTGAACTATTTTTGTGTATTGAAAAATATTTTTATGGAGAGTCATCTATATATAAATCACAAAATACATTAGTTAATACCCCTTTATGGGCATTCATTAATAATGAGACTGATCTGACCCATTATTTTTTTCACCTGCTGTTAAATCATACACACAGGAGAGAAAAAAGGTTTTGATCAGAATTATAAAATGGATCACCAGATTTTTTGCTCATTGCCTCTCAGAGCTTCTGTAAGAAATACTTTCAGTGGTTAATTAGAATAAATGCAGTTTAAAAAATGTCACTTAGTGTCGCAGGTTACTTTTTAGAAACAATATTTTTCAATAGTTATAAATGATATAAACAGTTCCAGCAAAGTTCCCTTTGATACTTATTGGAAAGTTGTCTGGTATTGCAGTTTAAATGTCCCGAGGATCAGTCCTTCCTCCTTCTGAAACAACACAGTGGCTCATGGCTGTGATGCTGTAAACACTGTTGAAATCAAGTTTTTATTGAACAGATGAAGCGATGACCCCTACTCGTATTGCAGTCGCTGATTTGCCACTTTGCCCTTCTCCACACAAGGACGCACTTTTTGTTTCCCTTCATTTTGGACCGGGGGGGCGTCTTTCTCCAATTAGTGTAGCTAACAGGCTCACCACTCGCCCATTCCCAGCGTCCTCGTCCATCCCTGTCATTCAGGCCTTCAACAGTAGGAGAAAAATACATTCATTAGCGTGAATAAGTTGTACTCTACCATGTAAAAATGTATTTAATGATGAAAAAACAAAACAGAATGGTGTTGCAACAAATGATTCAAAGATACCCACCTATCCAAAATGGTTTTCTTCTGCTGAAGTCCCACAGCCAGTCCATTTCAACTTTAGAGAGAACGCTTGCAAGAGTGCCTTTGTATCTGAAATCAATTGACATAGTGCATATAATTCATATTATATAGTTTTAATGCATGACAGACAACTAATCAGTAGCATGCTTTGTGCCTCAATTTGTCTGTGTGTTTGTCTTTTGACACAAAGAATGTGTACAAGCTCCATGTTAAATTGTACCTCTCTCTGCAGGCCCTGTTAGCTGTGCTCCATGTGACTTTGTGCTCAGTGCTAAGGGAGTAACAGTGGCCACCATGAAAGGTCCAGCCCTGAGGACACATCTGAGCACTCACCATCTGTGATTCAGAAAGAGGCAGACATTTGTAGGTGAATGTCAATGATTTGATAATTGTTTTTAAGTACTTATTTCAGAGGTCAATCAACGTTTTGTCAAGGAAAAAGAATAATGTAGCGTCTACAAACATTCCATATGGAGATACTCAAGGTTCTATCCTAGATCTACTACCTTTCACTCATTATATGTTAACATTTACAGGCATCATTCAAAAGGACACTATTGTCCTTTCATCACTATGCAGACGACACCCAATTCTATATATACTGTCAGTCCGGATGATCTGAGACCCTTAAAACTACATTTCTGACATTTATTTAACTATGTCAGAAAGGATTTTTTCTCCAACTGAAAGCAAGACAAAACATCACAATATCATAATCATTGGCTTCATATCATAGTAATTGGTCTACAATGGCAAATAAAGAAACTTTCTCAGCAATTTACTTTGCGATCTCAGCAAATTACAGCTCAAGCCAGAAATGGCAACTGTATATAAGGATATAAGGAACAAAGCATCACTGTTTGGCAAAAACCTTCTATGTCCAAAACCGTTACTTTTCTGGAAATTATCTTTAAAAATGCCTGTGATTTTCAAATAATTTAAGATATATTGAATACTTTTCATCGGTGGAATAATTGTAAAACTCACAGAAATATGTAAAGGGTGACCAACATCATTGAATCGCAGAAAAAAAGATAAAAGTATGGAGACAAGGTTTCCGCCAGACAGCAACGATAAGTAAAACAGCATTATATGCTTATTTGAAAAATATTGCGAAGGTCAGACATCTTTCTCCCAGAGATGCAAAGAAGCTAGTGCATGCTAATTACAAGTAGGTCAACTTGAATACCTGATCAGTTGGTACCCAGGGTTTCCAGGAGACACCATTGCAGTGAAAGAGCTGATTGGTGGTCTGGTTGAAATGCAGGAGTCCCATCAGTTCTGGCACACAGGGCTTTGGTATGGTGTTATCAGCTTGAGCCTACGGGCCATACAAAGTCACAGGAAAATTAATTCAGTGTTGCTTTAACTGAAATGCAATGCATTTTCCCACAATGATATATACCCTAGAACAGTGTAAATATGAGATAGAAAGTTTGTAACAAGCAGGTAGCCCTGCCCTAAAGCATCCCCTGCTTTATGGTCTGTTTGACTCTAAATGGACCATAATGTACTAAATGAACATCATGCTGTATTGAAGAAGACTTGAAACTATAGATTGAGACCATAAACTCATGTTTACAATGTTTACTGAGGTAATAAATCAAGAGAGAAGTAGAGTCATTTTCTCATAGACTTCTACACAATCAGACTTATATTTACAATAAGAGGAGTCACCCCCTCATGGCCAGTAGAAAGGAAGCAAGTTTAAGGCATCTTTGCATTGGTTTCACTATTCAGAACCGGAGTATGCCAGAGTTAGCAAGGTAAAGAGATGAAGTGACACAAAATGGATATTAGTTTGATTATCAAGCAACTCCAGGTGGCCCTGGTCACAAAGCTAAAGATCCTGGCAAAAGAGAGTTACTCTTTGCTGACTCAACACTACACACATTTTCCAAGAAACAGAAAAGGACCAGTAACATTTGTACTCACATGTCCTTTAGCCAGTGCCGTTTCTTGTGGTTTTAAGATCTTTCTGTGAGGCTCTGACTTTGACTCAGTAAGCACAGCTGGCACCTGCTGTTGTGCTCCCCTGCTAACCACACGGACGTTTGCCTTTCTGCCCTTCCTCGATGGGGAGGTGTCATCCTCTACTTGTATTTGCATGATGCCATGATACTAGAATTAAAAAGACAACACAAATGAAGACTCTTCTGACTTTACGGTTAGGTCAGTTAGTACCAGCTGCTGCTTACCATGTAAATGTCTGTCCCATTGTGAAAAACGGATGAAGGTGCAATCTGAAAGACAAAGCAGTAACAGTTTATAGACTTTTAAGCTGCAACAAAGTCATGATGAGAAGGAAGAGGTCAGCAAGAACAGGTACTTACAGACTTTGGGTTGCCCATAACTTTAAGTTGTTTTTTTGGGACATGAGCTCCAGGCCTGGAGATGCTGTCTCCACGGGTCCAGATCACTGATTCTGTGCCGAGAGGCAACTTCTCTAGCTGAATGGATCCATGTTGGGGGTACATGTGTGACCGAACCTCTTTTCCTACAAGAACAGGAGCCTCCTGATCATGGTTCAGCCTGGACTGTCCTGTGGTGTCTTAAGTTTTAACAGTCTTATTAGTTTTTAATCAGAATGACGGGCGCCATCTTATTTCAAAAATACTTTATAAAGGACACTTCATATAGTCGATTTATAATCAGTGTAAAATATATATATATATACTGTATATATTTGGCCAGTTGCCATGGATTATAAAAAATGAATAATGTGAAGAGATGCAACCTTGCAGTATCTTATAAGATGTTTATTTTTACCGCTTCCCGAGTCCCTGATGGTGACCTGAGCCTTCTTGATGCTGCCGATTACTGTGCCTTCAGGGGACACCAGCAGCACTTCAAACATCTCTGCAGCCTCCTCAAGGTGATCCTGAATGATCTTGGTTTGCCAGTTCCTCTTTGACACTCCTACAAAGCAGAGACCATCACAACCTTTTAACAAGAGCTGGTGCAGGTCTCATGTATTGTGGCTTTGTCTGTTTTGTACCTTTGATTTTACAGCAAATGTTAAATAACTGAAATTAATTATGGTTGTTTTAGTTCTTGTGAACAATATACACACTGTATATCTGCAGCTTAGTTATGAAAAGATAAAGTGCTGCATGAGAAAAAAGACTTATGAGAAAGGACTAGTGGAAAAGGTTATAATAAGATGTAGTATAATTCTATGTAAAACTAAATATTTGCAGCAGCACATCTCTTCTGTTTTGAGTTGAAGGATATCAAAACAACAGTTGTCTTAATCAAAACAACAACAAAAGACGGACTTTGATGATGTCGTGAAGTAGTGTGGGTTCATGGGAGTTGTTGTCTTCATTGGTAAACATCCACTATTGCCAATTAAAATATACCTTGTGATGGGTGGTTTCACAGATTGATCTATATATGGTATCATGTATCAGTCAATAAAGAGTGCTGTAGGAATGAGTCCTAAAACACAGAATGATACAGCATTTTTGCACTTCTGATTCCCTTGTCTCAAAGTCAAAGGGATGTTTGAATGGGTTTTTGATTAGATGCCTGAAATAAGGTATGTGGTTACCACAAGTTTAAGAGATTAAAACATTTTATTCTATGATATAAAATGCATCAGTAAATGGCCCATTCTTCACTTTGGGGACTTTTACCTGTCTTAGACTTTAATCATTTACAATGGTCATATACATGCAGGTACATACATGAAATGTGACCTCTGCATGTAATGCATCATAAACATTTTATGAGGAGTTGGCTGCTGTGAAGCTCCACCTGCTGTGAGGCGCAGGTGGAGCTCAGGCTTAGGGTTTGTTTGTTTTGCTCAAAGACAACGGCAGTATCAAACCACCTACCTTCTGGTTATAGGACGACACCCTCAACACACTGATTATCTTCTTAACAATACGTCTAAGTATCTTAAACGTTTGTTTGCCACAGAGTATATACTCTGCAATAATCCAAAATCCAATGGAAAAATCCCATTGGCTGAATGTGGAGGAACTTATTTATCTGTGCTAGCTTCCAAGCTGGCCTAGATAAACTGAGTAAACTCCATACATGATATTTGGTCAAGCACCCAAAACACTGGATCCTACACTTCCAACAATGGAACTAAAAAGTCTTCAAGCCTAAAATTCCCCTGATGACATCATCAGTAATCATCTCAGACTTGACAAAGCTGCTCTAAAGCCCCAGAAGGCTTCTACAGGCTGAGTAGTACTAACCAAGACCAGACATTATTTGTAAAATCTGTGAAATTAAAAAGCATAACGTAAGCTTTCTACATCAATGAGGACATACTGTACCTGGATCAAACTGAATGAGGGAAGAAGGGCTTATAAGGAAGTCTTTTCCAGCTGTTGCAGTCACCTCCTCCATCTATGATAAAGAAACATGACACAGAAACAGGTCTGAAAATCTGTAAGAGAAAGGCCAAGCATCAGGTGACCGATGAGTTCAATGTACATATAAAGTGAGTAAAGAGCAGTTTTAATAACTGGCTTGCAGACCTTGACAGTGATGTATGAAGACTCTGCCAGGTTTCCTCTCCGGATGATGTCCAGCGAGACGGTTCCCTGCTCCTCACACACAGAGTACTCGGGCTGAGATAGCTCCACACTGGACCAGCTGAACTTAAGTCTGCAAAGGCACGGTCAAGAACGGTGAAGACTAAACTGTGATTTCAAAGATGTCATAGAAATCAGTGTTACAATGTTTTTCTTACATGTGAGGGGGCCCCATGTTCCCTAAAGGGTCAGACACCGTGAACTCCAGGCTGTCTGAGAGAGACTCCTTGTCTGGGCTGATGATGTAGGCGATAGTTCTCTTGTTCAGCTCCATCTGAGAAAAGTGCTGTGGTACAAAACCACCTGCAAGAACAAACACAAGCTTTTTTTTACATCCTAAGCTAAGCTGTGATTCAGATGGAAATAAAAGGTATTTCTCAACCTGTGGTCATGTTTTCTAGGTAACCAAAGTAGGGCTGTCGAACAATGCAGAATATCAGCTCCTCTTCTCTGCTATCGCTGTCTTGGGCCTTCAGCTCTCGAGATGACACAAAGATCCCGTGTCGTCCGTCGTCAAGAGGCTCTGCTTTCCAAAGAGGAAGCAGCTTGACAACCTCAGGACACAATTTATCCAGAAGCTTGATCTGAAAAACATATATGGTTTGTTAATGAAGTAGAGATTGATTAACATTGATTAACATGAACATCATTGAAAAGTACTTTGGACTTGGCGTGACATAGCCCATATGATAAACACAGATGTTACTATTTTTTCATAGCAAACTGATTCATAGCACACTGATATACCAGAGCATCAATGGAGCATATGGTGACAGCCACACACAGAACATCACATCTTTTGATCAAGTTTTATTTTTCAAGAAGTTTCTTTGCCTATAAAGTATAAAGTTGAGTTTAATAGTGTTTTAACTCCTTTTCGATCAGATTTAGAAGGTAACAGTTCTGTAGTTTTAGTGTAAAAACATTCTATAGTTAAATGTAAAAATGCAACATGGAAATTGGAATGCCAAATTGGGCAAATATATGAGATTACCATTTTGCATATGGTCACACTGCGTTTGTCATTCAAGTAATGGTACGCTCTCATGTTGAATGGGAAAGAGATTTAAAAAATGTTAATCGTTATTTTTGTATTGTAGTTACTCGTTTTTAAGGCATTAAAAAACAAGAGTAAGGACAAATATAACGAATAGATGCATCTGTCAAAGGGGTTAACTTGAACTTGGTTGTGAATGGTTCTAACAAGAAATACATTTCTTAATATGATGGTAAAATATAAAACTGAGGTGAATATTATTTGTTTGTTTAGTTTCTTTTTTTGTACAACCTAAACCTAGGAGTGAAAGGGTTGCCTATTTTTGTTTTCCCTTATTGTTTTATTTATTTATTTTGATGTAAATGGTAAATGATCTGTACTCATATAGACCTTTTCTAGTCTTCCGACCACTCAAAGCTTTAACACTACATGTCATCATTCACCCATTCACACACATTCATACACTGATGACAGGGCTACCATGCAAAGTGCCATCTTCCCATCAGGACTAACTATCTATTCATACACCGTAGGCACAGCCTACAGGAACAGCTTGGGGTTAAGTGGCTTGCCCAAGGACACATGGACATGGACTAGTGGATCGAACAGCTGATGTTTTAATTGAAGGATTGAAGGACTGAGCCACCTTTTGAAAGATTGTTGATAAGGACTGAAATAAACTGCTGCTGCTTACTAATACTTCATGAAGAAAATTCACTAAAATCAAACGTTGCCATTGACAATACAGGAGAAGTTTTCAGTGTTCATTTGTGACACATTACTTTATGGCCCTAGACATACATTTCATGTTACCTTGTTCAACATGCTAACATCAGCCACACGTCAACTAGTGTAGCTATTCAGCTTATTTGGTATTTCTTTCCGATATGACCAGTAGTTAGCTAATGTTAGCAAGCTCCACATTAATATTGTTGTATAGATGAGATCAACGGCAATTTGCTAACTTTATGACTTTTTACTTGTGCTACATTTAGCATTGTAGCTTGTGACCATATTGGCTGCTGTGCAGAAAACCATTGTGAGCATTGTTACATCTGGTTAAATACATTTCTTATGGAAAAATGGCAGCAAAAGGAAATCACACCTTGGTATTATACTCTCTTCCCATTGGCTCACTGACCTGGGATCCCCGGTACATAACTCATCCTTTGACCAGCTGAGGTTGCTGGAGAACAAGACCCCCGTTATCTCCTACCTGAATAGTGAAGAACACAGGTTCCGTTTGTAGCTGGCCGTCCAGCAGGAAACCCCGTTTGGTGCTGTCAGAGGCAGTAAAGGCAAATCGGTCGATCTGTGACGGCCCCCCGTCATGTTTGTAAGCTACCTCAAGCTCCTCTATGTCTCTCTGGGTGAAGTTAGAGCCAGCAGTTAGTGTGGTACCTCCTAAAAGCAGTCTGCCATACTGTGGAGGCTGGAGAAGGACAAAGGTCAGGGCGCTGGGTGGAGTGTCGGGGTCAGACATGACCAGGCAGTCAGGACCCATGATCATGAAGGCGCCTTGTGGAACAAAGAGGCCTTTGTTGCAAGACAGAGACGGCAGAATGCGGTCCACCATTTCCACTGTGATCTCAAAGCTTCCATTTCGGCTGGTTTTACCATTACTCACAACAAACCTGGCAAAATATACAGACTTGATGTTAGGCTTCTGAACAAATGTGATCACTATAAGAAATCAACTATGAATCAGGTATCAAATATTCTTTACGAGACAGTTAGTATCTCAAAACCAATGTGCTGCTCTTTTGTCATGTTGATGTGAGTGTGCACGACCACACAACTTGATCACAACTGATCTCAGAGCAGGTGTACTGATCACAAGATTATTCTGGATGAATAGATGGAGCTCCACCCACAAGCCAAGCAGATCTTTTGGGGTTTTTTTACCTCTTGAACTAGAAAACTTGTGATGATGACAATTTGAGCTATTAGCTCTCAAATCTTTCAAGTTTGACCTGGAAAACCTTATGTAACTGCACCAGGCTTTAGGTATGTTAACACAGTATGCTTGCTCACAAACTATTGCTAATACTTTATTAAAATGACAATTCAAAAATAATAATTCATCTTTTCTAAAAACATCTTCCTTGTTTCAACGTCTTATAACTCTTTTTGAATTCTGAAGGTTTTGCAATCTTTGCTGGTTAATGTCCTGTCATAGCTGACAAGCTACTACCCTCTGCCGTACTTCCAATGACAAACTGTGTGCGCACACTCACGTACGTCATCACATTTAACAAACTGTAAAAGGGTCTTTTGCCAGTTTTTCTGCTTTTGTTTCCATTCTTCTATGGTCAGCCCCAAGAACAGTTCTTGGAACTAAATTTCATCATTACAGGAGGAGGTACTAAATCCAGGTTCCACAAACTGTTAGGGGTTTCTTACAGTGTTGTTGACGTAAATTGGCCAGCGCAACTAGGACGAGCACAATCTGAGAGTCTACCAGCTCACAGTCAAACAGAGCAGGGAACAAGATTGAGCAAATTATAGTGATGACACAAGGCAGGCCAAGTTTAGGTTAAGGCAAGGAAAAGGCTTCAAGGCTAATGCTATTTCAGCTAAGCTATTATTGTGTTAACATTGCGCCAGGGATGACGGACAGAGGAAGATTTATTTGGCATGGCTTTCCTGACTAATTTACATCTTGACTGTATAACTGAATAATAATGTCAATACATTATGTTGAAATAACATAAGGTTTATATTATTACTGTGCCATGTAGTTAGCATAGGATCCAATTCTGAACTATAAATTTGTAATTCTTACACCCAACAACTGTGACATCGAAACTGTGTTATGTGAGGAAACAATGATGGGATTTCATAATCTAAATGGCTTCCAGACTCACTGAAAGTTGTCCATGGGTGTGGTGGCTCGGTTGTTGTGCACATAAGCCACAAGGTTGGCGGCTATGTCCATCTGGCTGAAGGTGGAGATGGCCAGTCCAGGATGCTTGATGTACTCTACGTGTCCGTGAGCCGGAGGGTTAGTGATGATATACAGAAGCTCCTCTGGCATTTCTGTGCCATCTGTGGCCAACAGCACATCCGTGGTGAGAACCACACGGTCTCCACGACTGACGTTCACCGGCTTCACAAAAATGGCAATGTTTCCTGGAAATGACGGTGGAAGAGACATTTAGAGGCTACGTTAAAACTGGAACCCCATCCATTTGAATTAACAGTGGACAGAGGACAGGGGAACACGGTGTGGCCTGGCAGTCACAAGCACCTCACAAGTGGACCAAGCCTATGACTAATGGAGAATTATAGAGTGAATTCCTGTACCTTTTTCCACATCTTTGACAGAGATGTGGAAGTGCTGTGGGGGCGATTGATTCTTTCCATCCGACAAGTAGAAGACAAAGAAGTCCTGTGTTTTAGCACCATGCAGGCCTGTGTTCACATAGCGCAGGAGGTTAATGTCCACCATCTCCTGGGTGCAGTTCCTCCCCACTGTCAATGTCCTCCAGTCCGGACCTTCCTGAGACAGGAGCACAACATCTACCAGTGTCACCGCAGTGTTTACAGTGGCAGCTACTGTTAAGCAGCATATCTGAAATGAATGGTAATTGGGACTGGATTTGATAAAAAAGTGAAAACCCCTTTAGGATACATGACAGAAACATGATATAAATGTCCCCAGTATGATTGGCCAATCCAACTCCTCAGTTCAACACCTTTCTGATTATAACTGAAAATAGTCAAGCATTGGTTTCTACCAACTCAAGAGAACAATATCTGTCTTTGTGACTTTACAAGTGACATTTTTCACATTGCAAATAGTCATTCATCTATTGTTTATAATTCCCTTCACTTAAACGTACAGTGTGTAGGATTTAGTTGCATCTAGTGGTGAGGTTGCAGATTGCAACCAACTGAATCTCTCTGCACTCACCCCTCCCTTTCTATGCGTATCGTAGAACTGGCCTTCAAGTAACATAAAAAGGTGGAAGTCTCTCTCTAGAGCCAGTGTTTTGTTTCTTCGTTCTGGGGTACTGTAGAAACATGGCAGTGCAACATAATGGACTTGCACCCTATAAAGATACTAGAAAATTTCGCAAGAATTTATGACAGTGTGGCTTCTACTGCCCAAAGACGTTGCAATATATATACACGGCAATGTTACCAGTAGTATCATTGAGGTTCAATTGAGATATCGCTACTCTCTTTTCTGCATTTTAGATTCATACTCTTGGATTGAATCTTGTATTCGTAATGGACAGTCTACAAATGTCTCCCATCATTTCTGTATTTGAGATACACATCTTTGTTTGAGAAGCCTTTGGAAATGATGGGAGCGTATTTGAGATATATACCTTTGGAAATTACATTTCTGTATTTGTGATGGAAAGACTTGAACTTAACATTTCTTAACATGAACCTCATTCTGAGCTTCATGTTCAGATACGGTTAATGCATGGGGCTTTTATTTTAGGGTGGGACTGGGTGGGTGAGAGAAGGGGAGAGGAGACATAATCATAATGTTTGACACACACAGAGGTTATTAAATGACAGGCTTCATTACAAGCATTCCAGTTAGAATTCACTCTGTGGGGCTTTTATTTTGAAAGGGTGGGACTGGGTGGGCGAGAGAGGGGGAGAGGAGACATAATCATAATGTGACTGAATTGACTGAATATCTCCAAGTCATATGTGTGTGTGTGTGTGTGTGTGTGTGTGTGGGTGTGTGTGTGCGTGTCTGTCTCTGTGTGTTCATCAACTGCACTAATGAGCTCATATCAAACACCTGTGTGATTGGGTGCATGTCTGTCACTTAAGATGTGTTAGACTATACAGGGATTTTCAACAAAACTACCTGTCAAACCTCTGCCCTTTATACCAAAAGCATGAGTCCAATCAACAACATATGGATACCATGAGAGAGATAAGACTGCCGAACGCGCTATGTACACGTAATGTGTTTTTATGTTTGTGGTGTTAAAAATGAGAGCTACAGAGCAATATACAAAACTAATACCATCTGCTTTCTTTGAGAAATTAGTGGTGAGATTTAACATGGAGTCTAATGGAGCAGTTGGTTGGAGTTCATGTCGCTCTACAACTCTTTGAGCCAAATGTGTAAGTCTGTTGGATTCCATAGACACTTGACTGCAACCAACACAACATTATCCAATCTTTTTGACCATAAATGGTGTATAAAGAGTAAAAATTGTGGGACTGGAAGCAATTTATTTGGAAAAATCACGGAATACTTTTCATGCTCTGCTCCACTCTGACCGTGATGTCATCACTCTAGCACTTAACGAGCCGTGCAATACACACTCATTATAAATCTGAAACTGGCCCAAGATTTTCCTGAAACTTAATCTGTGATGAAAACTGTGCTAGCTATCAAAATGCCCATGAGGCTCAATAAAGTCCAGCGTTTTGTCTACGTTTTAAACTTTGAATCATTTTCTACGTTAAAGTATGGCTAGTCAATATGGACCCAAAGTTAAGCATTTTATTTGCTCTCTTCAAGCCGAAACCCCATTCAAGTCAATGGAGAAATTTTGCTCCATTTTTCACAATTTCGGGAAAACCGCTGGGCGAATCTCTGAGAAAAGTCATAGCACACCTATGTATGTATTTTTTGCGCAGGTGTTGGCAATGCTCCAGGATGAGAAGCACGTCAAACTTTTGTACAGAAGATGGAGAATAAGAAGAATAGTCCCGCAGTGCCACAAAGCCCCACTGAATTAAGGGCTTATTCCAAGCTAGCGGGAAAAAAAAAAACATACTTCAGATGATTATACACTAACGAAAACATAGTTACGAATACTACATAACATTTTTTCTAATAAATGATAAATGGACTGTACTTGTATAGCGCTTTTTTTAGTCTTCCGACCACTCAAAATGCTTTAATACTACATATCATCATTCACTGATTCACACCCATTCACTGATGGCAGGGGCTACCATGCAAGGTGCCATCTGCTCATCAGGACACTAACTAACCATTCATACCCATTCATACACCAATGTGTATGAGCAATTTGAGGTTAAGTGTCTTGCCATCGACATGGAGTAGTGGAGCGGGAGATCGAACCACCGATCCTCTGATTGAAGGAGGACCCTGCTCTACCACTGAGCAACAGTCGCCCCACTAATATTCCCTAAATCCTACACACTGGCCCTTTAACACAGTTAAACTGGGGACATAATATCACAACCTCTAGTGTTTCTCTTTAACATTTGATGGCAGTACACCTACCTTAAACTGAAGTAGTCCTTGGGTGGGAACACTATCAAATATGTACATGACCTGTGAAGAAGGAGTGTCACCATCCTGTGCCAACAGTGCAATGCTGGAGATAAGCCTGGCTTCTCCCACCTCCACCTCCAGTCCATTGTTCCTGAGGGACAGTGGATTGAGACAAGGTCCAGCTACTTTCACACAATGATGTGAGGACTCACTTTAAGCAGGAACTGTATTAAAGATGTTACCTGATGACGCGAGGCTCTTCGTCGTTGACTGGCAGTACCTTAACCATCACTTGTCTTTGGAGTTGGTGCCTGCCATCAGTCAACTGAATGGTGAAACTGTCCTCCTTATTCTCTGAGTCATCGTGCATGTACATCAGATCCATACCTAAATGCAAATGATCATTTCGATTTATTTGACTTTTTCAACTCATTTAAATTATTCTACAAAGGTGTAGTGCTCAGTTTTATTTCCTGCCATTATAGCAGGCGATATGTTCCTTTTCAACAGAAGGGACAGACCTGGTTTGTTCCATTAAGTCTTATAGCTAACCGTCCTATCAACAACTCTTATCTGCCATCATCCCCCCTCAAAGTGCTGGGTGTAGACAATGGTTGATGGGATAAAAACTGATTATTCAAATGAAAGGCATATGTCAGTATTTTCTTGTTGGTGACATCAGAATCCTGGAACTTGTAGAAATTGGAATTCATCACAATTTACTACAAGTCAGCTTTTTCTGCTGATTAAAATAAAATAAGGATGTCAGGGAGCAAGTGAAACATCTAAACATTGCTGGAAAACCCAGTGTAATACAAATACTGTTAGTCCTTCATTTGAATATAGCATGACAGAGACCCTGCCTCAAGGTGAGGACGAGTCTAAAGGTAGAAGTTGTTTTGTGCATAGCTATGGAATGGCAGGGTGGTCTAGTTAGTTATCTTGTGTTTGGACTTGCTACTTGTTTGTTACTGAGTTGCATCTCTCTTAACATAATTTTATAGTGTTCTTGAGTCTAACAGAGGTGCTGTGTCCCCAGATGTTGTGGTTTTAAAGTAAGACTGTATCATAACTGACGTTTTGTTAGTTTGACCGTTATAAATGATTGTCAAACTAACAAGACTGAGCAGCTAAGACACAGCTGAATAAATACAGAATTTTCCTTTAATATTTGACAGATGAGGAGAGTTGTAGTTTCCAATGGGAAATTCAAATACCATCTTTCCCATACATGAATGCAGCATGAGCACTGAGATGACTTAAACCAGAGACTTAGACCACAGCTACACTGAGACTAACTGTAACCCAGAGCAGATTAATAATCAGTGACCTGAATTTGAAAGTGTGAAACAAGCTTTAGCACTGTCTTGTAAGAAGTACCATTTGAAAGATCTGTCATTGTGAAGTCCACCACAGGGGACTGAGGACTGGCCTGTTGTCTCTTGTAGGCTGACTTTTCACTGCCGTGAGTGACGATGCTGCCGTGCTGCGGGGCTCTGACCACACTGAAGAGCAGGCTGTCCTTGGGGACATCCAGATCCACCGCTTGTAAAACTGATGAGTCCAGCTGCTTCATTTCTCCTTCTCGCACCTCATCACAGAAGGACATCAATGAATATCAACAAAATCTGATCAGTAGTGAGACGGACCACAAAAACTTACTGTGATGTTCCGAGCCACAAACTGTGGGATCTCGTCGTTGGTCGGGTTAATGAGAATGTAGAAGGGGACATGGGCAGAGCTGTGTTTGCCGTCTGATACACAGAGCACGAACTGGTCAGCTGTGGGCTCCATCCTCTGGTGTCTGGACTGTACGTAGTTCACATGCCCGTCAATAATGTCTTTGTATGAAAAGGAAGCTGTGGAAAGGGAGGTTGGACAGAAAAACACATGAAATATTCTTTTGTTTCTCCTTTCTGATGATAATAAATATATATATATATATCATAATGCTTACCTATGCTTATGCCCGTGTTGCTTTTCTCAAAGCCAGGACTGGGCAGGACATTTTCTATGTAGCCAAACTGAGGCGAAGAAATGAGACTGACCACCAGTTTGTCCAGAACAGTGTCCACGTCAAAGACCTTCAAATGAGATGCAGTTATCGGGGCAGAACCACCTTCATCCACCGTAAAGATGTCTCCTACAAACATAAATAATCACAAATCATCCTTAAACATCATGCTTTAAAAACCTCTTTAACTGACAAAATGATTAGCCACATAACCACAGCATTTATTCTGGTCATGGGCCAAATTAAACTATTTTAACCTCTTTTCTATTTATCAGGTTTTATTCTGGTGATTCTAGAAGTGTGCTTTACTTGCTTTGGTCTTTAAATATATGTATTTTTTGTGGTGTTTGTTTTTAAATCTCTCAGTTGACACAAAACATCAGTGAAGTTTCATATGAGCCTTATCCTTTTAAGGGGTCCTCCATTTTGTGCATTGAGAAGAATAAACTAGGCTGGCTAACAAGTTAACAAAGCGTTGCCTGCTGAATTAAAGTCTGATATAAACTCTTCTTTTAGCTTTGTCTTCACCAGCGTCTGAGAAATATTATACATGAAGCTAGAAGAGGCTAAAAAACCTCCCTGACAACTTTCACAAACTACTCATTCAATCCACTGTTGATACAGAAAAACAATTGTAAGCCACCAGCATTATTAAGTTAACAAGCTAACAAGTTCGCTTCAGCAAACACGTGCTTATTTAAACCTTTTACAAACACAGTGCAACATTAGCATTCATTTGTTAGAGTCATGTTTGTGTCCACCTGTTAAGTTTAAGTCCAATTCTCACAGTCCTTTTAAAAATCCCGTAAAAAAAATCAAATAAAATGTAGCTGCTAGCTGAATGCTAAGTGTGCATACAGGTTTTTGTGGATAGAAAAAGCTAGCTGTTCCTTCAGGTTTTTTGTATCCTCGTACTGCAAAACTAGAATGTAAGTAAATATTTATTTTGAACAAAACAAAAGAAATACATTGAACAGTTTTATACTGTATGTGTCACATATGTTGCTTCAATTTATTTTGTCACAGATATCAACAGATATCAATTTTTAAAAGCCTTTGTGCTAATAAGCCTCTCTTGTGGCAATAATAAACAGCAATTACATGGTAATTACATCTGTGTTTCTACTGCAATGACATAATAATATTTCTCATTGAAAAGACAGATTAGAATAATGGAGGTGTAGATTTAGCCTACGGTGTAAAAGAGTGGAAATGTCAATGAAGCCCTGTCACTCGGAGCTGGTTCTCTGTGACACAATTTGAGTTCAAAATGCCCCACCTGTTGTTAGAGAAGGTGGTTGGCTGTCAACTGGAAACACTGTGATCTGGAGGTCATACACAGGCAGACTGAGTCTGAACTTGGTGAGATTTTCTTCACCACAGCATAAAGCAGAGTTTTCTGTTCCTCCGTCAGATATGACAAAAGTGATGGTGTCATGGCGAGGAGTGAGTCCAATCTCCAGTCCTAAAACCACAAGCATAAGAAGTATGTTTAGAGACAGTCCCTACTGGGTTGTTATTCACTTGTTTATCGCTCCAAGATATTTACTGTATGTGTTACATAGTCTGGTGCTTTGTAAAAAGAAATATGTACAGCTCTGAGAATGAGCTCAGTCATTAGGTAGAATGATAATGAAGAGAATGGAGCAACTATATATAGGCCAATATATCAATAAGTGCCAATTCAGTATAAGGCAAGGGTCACCAGGAGCTTAAACAAGAATTCAGCAGTTCAATATTTTTTCTTATTATTATTTATCAAAAATACATCATGAAAATGCACTCCATTATATAAAGATGGATAAATAATGTGCAAATAAAGATAGGGCAATCTTGGGTTTCAATATCGCTCCTTGAATGTGGAAACAGACGTAAAGTACAGATATTGTTGTACTGCGGCTACTGAGAGTTGACAATTTATAAGAAGGGAGCTCACAAAATGTAAACGAAAATGACAGAGTAGTAGTAAACACTTTAGCCTTAAGCCCACTCCGCGCTGCCCACCTGTGTGTTTGTAGGTGATGATCCTCGCAGTGATGTCTGCCTGGATGAAGCGATCAACCACGACGGAGTTCCGGAGAACCACGCCATGATAGGGCTGCCGGGCGATCAGGAAGGCCAGGCTGCTGTTGTCACTGTCTGCGTCAGTAGCGTAGATGTACTCAGCTGTGATGACCATTTCCTGCCCCTCTGCACAGCTGAGAACCGGTTTCAAACCAGCGACCAACACTGGGACCTCGTCATTGATGGGCCACACCTGGAGATGACATGCAAGTCACTGTGAGTTAAACATTTAACGTTTCTATTTTTAGAAGACCAACAATGTAAATCCATTTCTATTACCTTCACTTGCAGGAAAAAACTGACTGAATTGGAGCCATCTGTTGCTGTGAATTCAATGTGGTCCTCTACAGTTTCTGAGCTGTCATGTTTGTACCTGATTTGACAAATGACAGACCAAATTAGGATTTGATGAGTGATGAAATAAACACAACGTTTGTAATGTGAATTAAAGTCTGAGGATACAAAAAAATAAATGTAAATGTTGTAATCAGCTTGGGTAATTGGAGTCACTGTCCATTCTATTTTAATTCAAATAACAGTTGGTAACACTTGGCATGTATCAAGATTTGCAAAAATCATGTTTATCTATTGGCTCACACAGTGTTCTTAAGAACACACAGCAATAAACTGATACTGATTATGAGCTGGTTATATTCTTAATCTAGGAACTGAGTTTACATCAATATGTTCTGTGAACACTGCTTGTCTTAGTAATGGTGCTTTGGGTCTTTTTTTCTTTTGGTATATAAAAAGCTATTCTAAAAGCACACAACTTGTGCTTTTAGATATCAATGTTTTTATACATTATTTCATTGATTAGTGAATTCAGTTTTAAGCAGCACTTACCTTTTTTGGGGGGGGGGCATTTTGGAGCAGAACTCCACAACAAGCTAAGTTTGACAGAACATGACCGTATTAAGTTGATATGGCTAACGTTTTGACAAGCAGTTGCCTATTTAGCAGACAAAGAGCAACATTAGCATTTATGGAGTCCTGGTTCTGTCAATCTGAAAAATATAAGTCCAATATTCACTTTTCTTTTAGCTCTGTTTTGGTCTCCACCAACTCCTGTGAAAAAATATCTAGCAGTTTGATTGCTAACATGTTAGCCTTGATAACTTGATGGATATAAAGGCTCTGTTTGTTCTGCCCTCTACTGGTCAGATATCACTTCTTGCAGCTTTGAACTAAAACCCCTACAACAGTCCCCAGATGTATACTGATGGAACAGTTTACTGTACAATATAACGCAATTCAACGTTCTAAGTGATCAGTTTTTGTTGACGCAGTGTCAGAGGAGAATATAAAATTCTATGCCCACATGAAACAACTGAAGCAAGATGTCTGACCTAACTTTAAGGCTTTTCAGGTCCTGCACAGTGAAAGTCTGGCCCGGTTTCAGCACGAGGCCATCGAGCTGCAGAGCTCCATGCTGCGGTTCCCTCTGAAGCACCACCTGCAGGGCTTCTTCTACGGAGTCCACGTCTGACAGCAGCAAGTGTTCAGGGCCGAGCCAGCACTGCCCGCCTTCATCTACAGTCGGAGGGTTGGTAATAACCTGAAACAGAACATACCCACACTTTATATATATATATATGTATATACAAACACATCCACATGCAGTTAATTAGGTAACAATACATTAAAATGCATTATGATAAAATTTTCATTTTCACCTGTGGAGGCTGGTTGTCCACTGGCACCACAGTGATGTTAAAGCAGATCCCAGTGACCGTTTTGCCCAGGAGGTTGGTTACAGAGAGAACAAATTGGATATACTGGGGGTAAGGGCCGATGTCCATGACTGGAGGCATGTAGGCTACTTTCATGAAGTTCACGGCATGCTAGAAAAAAACATAAAATGAAAAAATGGATATCTTTTTTTTAGCTAGTCTCGATGCATGTAGCTATAATACTTTCCTGAATAAAAAATGAAAAGAGTCACCTGTGTGAAGAGCCTCAGCACCGGTACATTGGAGTCTTTGGTGAATTTGGGTATGCTGTCGACTAAGAACAACCTCCCAGCATCTGGACTGCTGCTCATGAAGACAACAGCACAAAATTCAGACGGAATGTTTTCCCCCTGGTGTCCACTCTGTTCTCTGAAGGTGAGGACATACTAACCTGTGAGGACCAGCGTACAAAGGCGGAGTAGTAACCGTATATGTAAGCTCACTGTCTGGAGACTCCTGGTCTACAAAGTGAAGCTGTTGCCGTGTTATATGGACCACTTCTGTTTCTTTGATCACAAGACACCGACTGGAACCAGGAACCTCTTTAGGTGGTTGGTCTGGAACAGGCTCTATGTGCACTAGCACCACCTGCACCACAAGCATTTGGATTACTGAATCAGAAATCATGATCAGAAATTAAATTTCATTGGAAAGTATCAGTGGTGGGCCATCAGGGCCAGCAAGGCCTTCTCTGCTGGCCTAAACAGAATCACAAAGTTATAGCTATTTTATAATTTAATCATTTTTCTTAAATACACTACATGTTTTATAATTTATAAAAATATTTTTCCCATTATCTTATTTTCTCATTGCACAGCTCCTGTCTTCCTCAGTTGCTCTGCTTCCAGTGCAGCTTGTTTTAAGGAGAGCTTTTATCCAATCAGATCTCACCTCTGTGTCTCTAGGTAAGAACAGAGGCCCGAGGCCTGCAGACTCACAAGTGCATCCATGTGCAGTTTAAGTGAATGGGGACGATATTGTTGATTGTCATAGTCTTCAACCAATCAGATCTTTAGTTTGACATGTTGGGCGTATTCTTTGACGTGTCAGAGCCTGCTTGCTGGCCTACAAGTACGTGATTGGTCAGTGGGCTAGCCTGACATGTTGGGCGGTGACAATCCCAATATCTGCTGCCTCTGCTGAGCAGACATTTTCAGCCTCAAATGCATTAAAACGTATTCAAGAAATACAACTGGGGAGGCTCGACTGTCTTCACTGGCGTCCATGAATCGAGAAGGACTTCTTACTGGAAGTAAAACACACGGATGTACTGAACAACCATGAGATTAAACTCTTTGTTAACAAAGAAAGGAGGATGGACTTTGTCTTTAAATAGTGAACAGCAGCTTTGGTAAGTTAACTGCCATAAATATTATTTGTGTCATTATTTAATATGATTGTTTATATTATATATTATTATTTGTACAACTTGTTTCTATGAATATGGATTTTTGTTTGGTTTTATATGTGATAAGAACTATTGTTACGTCCTATGTTATGCGCTGGGGACACATTTAGCCGATGCACAGCAACAAGAAGATGTGTGAAGCGGCAGCGGTCTACAGTATATACTCCGTGCAAAGTGTTGAAGTTAAAGTGTTAAAGTTAAGTTTAAGTTTTTAAGTGATCTACTTTGAAGATTCATGTGTTTTCAAGTGGACTCATTTTCCCTCTCGGTGTTGACGGACGAATAAATCCATCAGTAACAAGAACTATGGAGTCGTGTATTTCCTGGAGGGAGTGGTACTCAGTTAATTTGTCTATCGTGTCATTTTCATGATATGGGTAGTATTGTTCCCTCTGATATGAATAATATTTGAATGGCCCGTGCTCTTGAGTGTGTGTCGGAATGCGTGTTTTAGCTGAATTGATTTTGACTCATTGTTCGTTAATGCCGCCGCATCCCGCCATGCGGGTATTCATGTATCTGCACTGGTAGTGTATTTGTAGGTGTTGAGCTTCATTTTTACGAGTGCAGGCCCAGGTATAAAATGCACGGCCCGCCACTGCAAAGTATACTTTTTAAATCCTAGACTATGGATTTTTTTCCATCGATTTTTTTTCATTTACTTTTTTTAGCCATGCAAGCAACATAGCTCAAGGGACAGCAATTTCATTTGGTGGGTCAGTTTTCCACCACTTTGGTTCATGATTGAATATCTCAGCAACATTTAAATGGATTATTATGGAACTTGTTGCCATTCATTGGCCCCATAACTTTGGTAAGCTTGAGGTTGGCAGCTTTGGTTTGAGTCAAATATCTTGACAGCGGATGAATTGCCACAACATTTACTAGACATTCAGCTGTTCTTCGTGTTTAGTGCTAACTAGAAAATGTTAGTATGCTAACTCACTAAACTAAGATAGTGAACATGATAAACGTCTACTGCGAAACATCAGAATGTTAGCATTGACATTGTGAGCATGTTAGCAAGCTGACGTGAGTATTTACCTCAAAGCACCACTGAGTCTATGTACAACTCACAGAGCTACTAGCATGACCTTTAAGCTAATTCATACTTCTGGGTTAAGGGGTTACGGTGTAGCTTCGAAGTAGCTACACCATGTAGCCACCTATGTGAACTGAGCTACTCATATTTGTTTCTTTAATCTTAAAATCTGACCATTTGAATGTAAAATGCCAATATTATCAGTGTTTCCCACAATAGAAGACTGACTCTTGTCAAAGTGAAAAAGGTCTTTGAAAAGTATTTTAAATGATGAATTAATTCTACATTGAAATTGGGAAAATTGTAACAAGGATAACAATAAATAACATTAATTTTATCATATTTGATACATTTTACACTGTAATATTGCAAAAGTAGACCTCACAAGGGCCAGTTAGTGAAATCCAATGTAGATTTCTTAATGATCATTGAGATTAAATTGAAATGGTGTTCCGTTTTCTTGTCTTTGACTAACTCACAAAATGACATTCATTTAGAGATGTATTGCTGTTACCCACTTGAGGCTCTGACAGGTTCGGAGGATCATGGAAATCAGACAGCACCACCTCAAAGGAGTCATCAAACACCTCGTTTCCTAGGTGTCGATAGTAAACCATGGACTGAGACAGGTCCCTCTGCAGAAAGTGGCTGACAGGATAACCTGGTTCAAGCCAACAGAAACATGACATAATTTGATTAATAAATAAAACGAACTCCATGTAGGGTAAAATAAAATCCATCCGTCTGACCTGTGAGCCCTGATGTTGGCATTTTCATAACCTCCCCTGCCTGTGGGGGGCGGGTGATGTTAAAGAGGATGTAGTCGTCGCTGGAGTCCATGTCTGAAGCCTGGAGGGTGGAGCCTCTCAGTAAAGCCATCTGGCCCTCAGACACCTCCAGCAGCATGTTGGTGATGAGGACCGGAGGGCTGTCATCCTTCGGCAGGATCTTGATGGGGAACTTGTGTCGGGTCTGATGGTGGCCGTCGGTGATGCGGAAGATAATGAAGTCTTTGGTGGAGTCGCTGTCGTCGTGGTGATAGCGAACCACGCCCGTTTTGATGTCATTGACATTAAACATGAAGCCCTTTCCCCCTGGATTAAAACAAAGTTGAATATGTGATGATATCAATATCATATTACTGACGCATTTAAGTAAATGTGATGAAAAAAATACTTGTGCTACATAAACTGTATTCATTTAACTATATTATATTTATTTCAGGATATCCTGTAATATTTACTTTTTAAATATTAAAGTGAGATACTTTTCCTCTTATATGCTACTAAAACTATCTAAATGAAACAACTAAAAGGAACTATACACATCATTGACATACTATGCAACCTGAGTAGACATCAATTCACTTTAACCCTCGTGCATCCTTTTAAAATGTTGCCCTGATGTCCTTGAAGGACAAAAATGTCTGCATCAAAAAACTGCCATAGAATTATATTAGTGCTGGGCAAGTTAACGCGTTAATTTCGCGTTAACGCATTCATTAATTAACGCCGACAATTATTTTATTGCGAGTTAACGCATTTTTTAAATTTATTACATTTTTTTTTTTTTTTATTGAAAGACAAGAGACAATACATATACAAAACAACAAGATGATGACAAGAACAGTGGGATAAAAGCCAGCAAACATCCTATAGTCAGTAATTTTAGTGCACCTATATGCTTAAATTCACGGTAAACGCATGTAAACGGCACAGATCGGGAGCGAGCGAAGGACTTTGAAAGTTAGTGGAAAGATTAACATGAGACAACGTCCGGTTTCTTCAGACGAACATCCGGTTTTCAGAATAAGATGCCAACAAAGTATGAATTATATTCACATTAAGTATAAAACATGCTACCTGCATCTCGTGAACCAAATGGTATTGCCCTTTTGTTCATATAGCAGTACTTTTAAAATAAAAGTGCGCAATACACTACTTTTGAATTCATTATTGAACTTTGCCATAACAATGCGATTAATCTTGATTAATCGCGATTAATCACAAAAAATCCATGCGATTAATCGCGGTTAAATATTTTAATCGTTGCCCAGCACTAAATTATATATTAATATTATTTTCTACTTTCGCTGAGTTACATTTTTTTAACCATCTTCGGTCCTGATGATATGCATTCATTTTCAAATCCTATTGAACATCTGTGCAAGGAGCTGAAACATGCAGTCTGGAGAAGGCACCCTTCAAACCTGAGACAGCTGGAGCAGTTTACTAAAGAGGAGTGGGCCAAAATACCTGTCGACAGGTGCAGAAGTCTCATTGAGAGTTACAGAAATCACTTGATTGCAGTGATTGCCTCATGAGGTTGTGCAACAAAATATTAAGTTAAGGGTACCATCATTTTTGTCCAGGCCATTTTCATTAGTTTTTTTTTTAAATTATTCTGTTGAACCACAATTCAAAAGCAATGTCTGATTTTCATTAGTTAATTTTCAGTACATTTTTATTTATTATTACTTTTGTCAGTTTCAAGTTATTTCGGTGACCATTGTGGGTTTTCCTTTCTTTAATGGAAGGGTACCAACAATTTTGTCCACGTGTGCATCTGCAGCCCAGACAGACAGATTTTAGCATGAGTGAGCTAGAAATCGAATTCAGGTAACCAGATTGAAGAGACGATGTCATTTTGTCTGTGTCCACTGGCAGTTGTTGTGTATACCTCTGACAGTGAGTCGTCCATGCTGCAGGCCGTCCACAGTGATGATACGAACAGCATTCAGGTTGTCGTTGTCCACAATCTGGAGCTGCTCCCACATTATTGGCCGAGACTGACCCTCCAACAGACTGAGGCCTATAAGACAAATTGCCTTTAGAAACGCTACTTAGCTAAGTATACTACATGCAAAGACTAATTGTGACATACTGTATAAATACTCTGCGGACAGTACAGACTCATTTACATGGAAATTATTTTGTCTTTGGTCTCACAGCTTTTAGATTTATGCTATTTGAATTTTCACATAGAAAGCTTGCCTAATGCTGTCTTAAAGCTGTATTCATTATTTTTATGATCACTCACAAAAACTCACATTTGACTAACAATTAACAAACACAAATATTAGCATTCATTTGAGTTTTGTTTCTGTTCACAAGTCCAATATTCACTCTTCTTTGAGCTCTGTTTTGGTCTTCACCAACTCCTGAGATAAATATGTGGCTCTTTGGCTGCAGAATGTTTGACTTTCTGTCTGTTAGTTATTAGGAGATAGTGTACAGTGAGTTTTTCAAAGCTGAAAACAGCTGTTCTGCTGCATCTGAAAGCGAGATTGATGAGGAGACTTCGATAAAAACATTTTGCTAAAAGAGGCTAAAGAGCTCCATGGAGCTGATAAGTAGGGTGATATCTCTTGATGGTGTTATCACACAAGTGATCATTGTAAAATTAATTGGTTATACAAGTTATTACATAAACAACTCAATGGCTTCCATGTGTTTGAAAGAGCTTTGTGCATTTGCAATGTGATGCTAGCATACCCATGTTCCAAGACACCCTGGGTGCATTCGTGTCTGCATTCCTTACAGACATGTGAACAGTCATTGATGGGCTCTTCTCAAAGAAAAAATCATGAACCTCAAATTCCATCTGTATGGGAAGACAACAACGACTTTCAGAGACCGCTGACAAAACAAATTGTTTTATATACTGCCCAAAGCATACGAAAGGGAAAAGCTACCTCGTAATTCCTGCGTTGGGTGTTTGAGGAGTTCGGAGGTTGATACCCAATGAGCATGTCATTGAGATCGAGCCATGTAAAGGAGGAGATTGGGCAAGTATGATCGGACAGATGGGCGATGAAGCCGTCCACGGGCGGTTTGGTGATGTTGAAAACCAAAAGTTGTTTGGGAGTTTCTTCGTCTTCAGTGTCTAGTGTAGCAGTGGAGAGTGGAGTGAGGATGAACTGGTCCACTTCAAGGATAAACATGGACATGAAGGACGGTTTGGGAGGCTGGTTGGTCAAGGCACCAACTATTTGCACTGGAATCCAGGCCTGTTCAGACTACACAGAAAAACACAATGCACTTCAAACAAAATTTCCTATATATTTGTCATAAAAACTTTAAAGCTGTGAGCAAAATCAATTATTAAATAAAATACAATTTTTTACACTAAAATCACAGTGCTAGTACTAGTAGTTAGAAACAAAGAAATACACAATTGTTAGCATTACAGAAATACATTTTAAAAAATGCATTAAAACAGGTAAAGGACCTGATATGTGCTGCCACTACGGGTGTCCATGAGATCCAGTCTGATTGCGATGTAGTCAACGTCTGGAGATGGAGGGTCTATGTGCTGATACCTCAGCCCCATCAAAAGGAAGTCATCACAGGGAATTTTGGTGAACTTCACTAGCTTCGGACCTTTCAGGCAGTCTTCAGATTTACACATTGCTCTGGCTTTATTATCTGAATAATTACACAAAAGATTTTAGATCACTTTTTGTAAAGGCAGACTCAACTGGTTCCACATTTACTCTACAGAGAGAAAACTGTCTGTTGTAGCTTAAAGTGCTAAACCAAGCCATCTTTTCACCAGTAATCAGTTGCCACAGCGGTCTTTTCTTGATCCATTACCCCTTACATTACATATAAATGACATTATTCTGCCTAATCTGGACATTCTTTATTCTTTTGCAGATGACATAATTTTGGATGGGATTTAATACCAAACCTGGTGCCCCCTTTGATACCATAACAAAAATACACTGTGGCAGGCAGCCACACCCCAATGAATCTGACCAGGACAGACAGAGAATGAAGGGATGAAACATATGCTGCACCCATTTTTACCAGGAGTGTATAACCTATCTACAAACATTTAAAGATGTTCTACAACTAGAGCATAATGCAGAGGCTGCTGGTGCAACACATTAGGACTCAAAGCATGAAAATCACCTTTTAAAACCTTTACAAAGTTAATAACCAGCTAATAGTGTTGCTGTTATTTCTGGGTAAAATCTGGTCTTTTATTGGTGGATTGTTTCGCTATGCACTTATGGATAAGCGAGGGATGGGGATTTTTCCACCCTCGGCTATCAGCCATGCAGTCTCATAGGTTACCTAGATGCTGGCGTAGGTGGATGAAGCTCTCTGGCTCGTCCCCTCTTTTCATAGCTTTCTCTGGCTCTCCGGTGACCAGTTGGCCGTGGGCTGGTAGGTGGGTGTCATGGCTACTTAAATAGATGCTACACTCCAGACTAGACCTCTGCTCATAATGGAAGGACACCACATTGCCATCCACGGCATCGGAGAAGCCGTAGAATTCAGGAACCTCCAGGGATTTGGGCCCCAGCTTTATGATGCTGCATTCAGGTTCCATAATGTCCACATGGAGAGAAAACACCTCCATGTATGTCTCTGTCTCTGTGAACCTGGTCAGACAAATCACAATATGATCATACTGCCACACCAGCAAGAACAGTAAAGAAAGACAATAAGCATGTTTCCCATTTGAAGGATACCCAGGTGTTTTACCTGTATAGTCGAAGCTTGACAGTGTCCTCCTTTAACAATGGACATCCGTTATGGACGTACTTTACCTCATCAGCCAGATAGTGGCAATCAAATACCTGCAAAAATAAATAATCAAATACATGAGTGAGTTGGGACTACGGTGTGTGGAACTACCTGGACATTGCTTTGCTAGCTTCATTGTTAAAATGTAACAAGACTATGTAACTTTTGCTGGATATGACACAATTGTGGTGACAAAAAGGAGTCAGCTGACTAATATAAGTTACACAGCAATATTGATCTAAAGTTTACTAACATAAGCTAACAATAGCCTCCATAACTACAGATGAAAAATAGCCTTTTGGCTAACTGGCGCATTTACAGAAATGTTTTTATTAATGTGCACTGTCCCTTATCAAATAAACCAATAGATAAATAAGCGACCCAGACCAAGTAAGGCTGTAACAACTAAACACCTGAAGGTTGCAAGGTTTCATTGTATTAGAATTTAATTTTTTTCTTTGTAAGAGGACAAATTAGTTATTTCTTCTGTCAAGATGTACATAATCTTGCTGTAACATTTGAGCATGCAGTGTGTTCATGATAACAGCTTCCATTATGTTCAGACTGGAAGCCAAAATACAATTTCTTTTGTTTCTTCGTGTTTTTACGTTTTCATGAAAAAACCCACAGTGTAACAGATTTAAGACCAGATGTAAGATTTAAACTACACTCACAGGTTATTTGCCAATGAACTAAAACCAAATCAGAAACTAAAGCATCAATTCATTTACAGTTCTGTCATTTTGTACTTCCTAATAATGCTCAATAACTTTGTAGAACAATGTCATTTGGTACTAATTATGGATTAAACAGAGATAGTGTCAATAGTTTTCCAGATTTTTATTTGCGGCTAGTGTAATCTAGATTTCTAGTCAGAACACAGCAGGTCAACTCAACATGAAATGTGTCATTTCCACAGGCAAACATACATATTGATATATTTGGAGAATAAAGTGTTCAATATTTAATTGATAATGCATTTATATTTACTTGGGTTACAATGTAGCTTTACTTTAAAGGACATTTCCATTTCCCCTATAATTAAACTACATTACATTCATATTACATTTCCAGGAAACTTACTAGGAAATTATCAGGAAATTAAAGACAATTGGAATGGAACAAACAACCATTTAATTAATATCTAAGATGCATTTCCAATTGTTGTGAATCAAAGACCATTTGGCAGATGATGATACATGACTTGAGTGAATAGAATGTACTTGTATAGCGCTTTTCTAGTCTTCCGACTACTCAAAGCTCTTTAACATACAACACCCTGATGACAGGGGCAATGTGCAAGGTGCCACCTGCCCATCAGGACTATCTATCATTCATATCCATTCATGCACCGCAGGAACAGCCTGCAGAGGCAATTTGGGGTTAAGTGTCCTGCCCAAAGACACATTGACATGGACTAGAGGAGCCGGGTAAATTGCAAAGAAATTTAATTTCATTGAATATTTATGCATGACTGCATAATCGGGCCATTGTAAGAAAAACAATAATAGTTACTTTGATTTAATTAAAGTTTTAAATTCAGCAGATATAACTTGGATATTCTCTGATATTAAAGTCGCAAAAGCACAAAAATTATTTTATTTATTTATTTATTTATTGTTCTGCCAAGGAACCACATTGCTTGACTTTGTAAGGTTGAATTAAGCTCAACACACCTCAGACGCCACCGCTTGCCTGTATTACGCCGGCAGTGGATGACCTAATCAAATTTTACTTTGCAATCAGATTTAACATCAAGGAAATACTTGTGATTTTTGCCCATAATTACTACATTATCTCGTAAATTTGCAAGTTTTTTCTTGTAAATTTACGATTTGAATCACATAAATTCACATAAAGGTTTTCTGTAATTTTTTCAACCTATTGCCCCAATACGCATTCATATAAAGGGCTTGATTGTCACCAACTCAAATGGAACTAAACTCATATGTAAAATAATTAAATGTTGTGTGGGCTTTCTTATGGCAAATGTTTTGTACTTTTAAGCATGAAAAATGGCTCTGATTCTGGACAGTCAACGGATGACTGTATCTGTCAGCACAGACTCATTAGAGAGGAGGCGGCCTGTCAACCTGGAAAACAAAGGAAGAAGTATAGATGGGTCCCTCCACCCTCTCTTCCCTCTTTAATCGACTGAAGAATAGGCTGCTGCAGACATGGAAATATATCTCCAAGCCAGGTGTGTATAGGATGAAGGGCAGACAGTAAAGGTCCGGAACAAAGCTTTCACACTTGACCTTGGCCTAATGTGCTGGGATATACAACCGTGGGATCTGAGGGCCAGTTACATTTAGTAGGGACATGATAGAATCTGCTCAATCCATCACTGAGCTCTTGTCATCATTACCACAACACTAATCATACCTTACATGGTTTCCTACATGTTCACTGTCAAACAGTGCTATGGAAGTGTAATGCATGCCTTCCATTTGGTTTTACAACACAAGGTAAACAGCCTGGAACATTGTAAAAGGGTTTTTCCTTTACCTGAGGCATGACTCTTCCCACTCGTTGAGTTATGGGCTCATTTAACACCACCTCCACCTTGCAGGCATCCTTCTGACGGGGAATATGGAACTGTAGGTCACCATCCTGGAGGTAGGCTGACTGACCCCGTTTCACCTTTACACCCTTATTGACTTTCACAAGGGACCCATGTGATGAGCAGGTCATTCCCAGCAGAAGCACTGGAAGCAAGGTCCAGGCCAGTGTTTGACCCTGTGAACCCATCGCTGTCAGGCACAAGCTGACGTTTTCAAGCACTGGATCCAAACTAAAGCTTTCAGAAACACACTTCAATTGGAGAAGGAAGTAATCCGAGATGTCGCTCTCTTTAGAAGAAGCTTCATTTTGCTGTGGTTGTATGATTTCATTGTGGCATGAGTCTCCAAGCTTTTAACCAGTTCACATGATCGGTCAGGAGCTGTAAAGGAATTTAACAAACGTCAGTGTTTGGCATTTCTTACATGAAGAATGTCTGTTTTATTACTGTACTCTCCATCACTGTAATCTGTAGGTGGCCTGGAAAAAAACGCAAAAAACACAGCATTCACAATGTAAATTAAGAAAAGCAGGAACACCGCAACATTTGAGGGAACCAAATGAGGAAGTCTAAAGATATTGCATTCAAAGCAATAAAAGCTGCATTTGTTGATTTATTGGCAATACTAATGTTTTCATTTCAAGAAGGCTTTGAGAAGAACCAAATGTAGTTTATGTTGTGACAATTAAACAAATGATGATACATGAAGAAGTCAGTGGACTGTGATTGTAAGAGATCAGGGTCATGGTTGAAAAAAAAAATTTGCATATCAACATGTTTTTTTCTCACTGTTGTTTTTAGAGGTTGGAGGTAAGTACAACTGAATAAGACATTTTTAGGCAACCAACATGTTACAATTAACTTTCATGAACTGAAAACACGTTGTGAAAGGGTTCAAGTTGTAAGACGAAAAAGCAGACAACACCTAGACCGGACAACGCTGTGGTAGTAACTTGTCAATCACAAAGTAGCCCCGCCCTAAAGCACAATCTGCTTTATGGTCTATTTGTTAGGATCCCTGTCTGCTCCTAGTGTGTTCTCCTCTGTTTTTGCCCCTGTCTGTTTTGTTACAGAGGGCCATGTGCTTATGTTTTCTTTTTGTGTCAGCCTACAGTTTCCACCCCTGTGTTCCGCCCACTTCACGCCCCTCTCCTTAGGCTCAGCTGTGGCTCATTCCAGTGATCGCCGCTGGCTGGCTTAAATACCTCGGCGTTTCACCGGCGCGTCGTCAGTCCGTCTGGTTACCAGTCTGGTCACGTAAGTCTGAACACGATTCAGTGAAGATCGTTATCTGTTTGTTTTTCTGTTCCTTTGCCGCTCAGCGTCGATCCCTGGAAGATCACCTGTGCCTTCTGTTTGCTGTGTCGGACCTCGGGTCTCCACACAGTCGCGCCGTCCTGTTCCTCCAGTATTGAGTGCGGTCGAGTTTCCCTCCCGACTCCGGAGGAGAAAGAGGAGTGACTTTAATTTGCTGGACAGTTAGTCTTTGTTTTTTGTTTGTTCATTCTTTGACTCCTCCTGCACATTTAAATAAAGTCTTGGCTGCAGTAAACCTGCTGTGTGTGCATGCGTTTGGGTCTACCAACTACACTACCCCATAACAGAACGGACTGACCATTATGGACCCAGCCGCCGCAGCAGGATCTCCTCCTGCGGACCAGCTACAGAGGGCAATCTCCACCCAGGGCGCGCTCCTCGGGCAACACCATCAGGTTCTGAGGGACCTAGTGGACTCGCAGCGTTCTATCGGGTCCCAGGTAGCGGAGATAGGAAGTCTGCTGCAGGACATCATGCTGCGCCATTCTCCTCCCCCGCAGCCAGTCCCTGAGGACTCATCCAGCACCCGTGAGTCTTTCGTTCCCTCACCTGTGCCCTTTGATGGAGCGTCCGGGGAATATTGAGGGTTCACGCTCCAGTGTGGATTTGTTTTTAACCAGCAACCCCGCACATTTGCTTCGGACAATGCCAAGGTGGCCTTTACGGTGGGGTTGCTGCGCGGCAAGGCGCTGGTCTGGGCGGAAGCTTGGCTCAACAGACGCAGCTCAGACCGGGTCCCCTACGAACAGTTTGTAGAGTCATTCAAGAGGGTATTCGAACACCCGGTTTACACCAGAGACGTTGCACCTGCTCAGTCTTCGTCAGGGTTCCACCAGCACAGCGGAGTAATCTGTGGACTTCCAGATTCTGGCCACGGAGTCCGGTTGGGACAAGGAGGCGTTGAAGGGAATATATCGCAACAGTCTTTCGGATTTTTTGAAGAATGAGCTTGCCATCTGGGCCTGTGCACCTGTCGGCACTCATTGATTCAGGGGCTGAACAGAACTTTTTGTTTATTAGGAGTCAAGGGATTCCAGTAGAAGCGTTAGAGTGCGCTCAGCTAGTGAGCGCACTCTAACTGGCAGAGATAACACACCAGACTCAGCCAATTTCCCTGCTCGTGTCCGGTAATCACAGTCAGTAGACCCGGTTCTACGTGGTTCCTACCCCTCAGACACCCCTGGTCCTGGGACTTCCCTGGCTTAAGGATCATAATCCACAGATCGATTGGGCTGGGGGTAGAATCACCGGCTGGAGTTCCGCCTGTCACACTCGCTGCCTCAGATCTGCAGTCTCCCGGCAAGCTCCTCCCGCCAGCAGACCTGACACCGGTTCTAGTCTCTTCGCTGTGCCCTGGGAGTATTTGGATTGAGGAGAGGCATTCAGCAAGGAGCGGGCCCTTTCACTCCCCCCTCATCGCCCCTACGACTGTGCTATTGACCTGCTTCCGGGTGCCCCACTTCCCACGAGTCGTCTATATAATCTCTCCCGGCCAGAACGTGAATCTATGGAGAAATATATAACAGAGTCGGTCGCCGCAGGAATCGTACGTCCCTCATCTTCACCTGTGGGAGCGGGTTTCTTCTTCGTCTCCAAGAAGGGCAAGAGCCTCCGTCCCTGCATCGATTACAGAGGTTTGAATCAAATTACAATCAAGAATAAATATCCATTACCGCTAATCTCTTCTGTTTTCGAATCCTTAGCTGGAGCTAAGATATTCACAAAGCTGGACCTCCGCAATGCGTATCATCTGGTCCGAATTCGCGAGGGAGACGAATGGAAGACGGCCTTTAACACACCCTTGGGACACTTTGAATATCTGGTGATGCCGTTTGGATTAACTAATGCCCCTGCTGTTTTTCAAGCACTGGTTAATGACATCCTCCACCACTTCCTCAACCAGTTTGTTTTTGTGTATATTGACGACATTCTCATCTTCTCCCCGAATCCCCAGGAGCACACTAACCATGTCCGCCAGGTTCTGCAACAACTGTTGGAGAATCAGATCTTCATTAAGGCTGAGAAGTGTGAGTTCCATGTTACCTCAGTGCAGTTCCTGGGCGTCTTCATTGAGGACGGTCAGGTGAGAAAGGACCCCGAGAAGGTTAAAGCCGTAACGGAGTGGCCGGTGCCCGCCTCACGAAAGAAGCTCCAGCAGTTTCTGGGGTTTGCTAATTTCTACCGACGGTTCATCCGGGACGACAGCCGAATGGCAGAACCGATGACGCGACTCACCTCCTAGGTGCCTTTTTCATGGACCCCAGAGGCCGACAAGGCTTTTCCTGCCCTCAAGGAGCGGTTCGCCTCGGCTCCAATCCTGATCCACCCAGACGAGACACGCCAGTTTGTCGTCGAGGTGGACGCCTCGGACACCGGAGTCGGAGCCGTACTGTCCCAGTGGTCAGCTTCTGACTAAGCTCGATCCTTGTGCTTTCTTCTCCCGTAGACTTTCCCTGGCGGAGAGAAACTACGATGTAGGCGACCGAGAGCTGTTGGCTGTCAAGTTAGCCTTGGAGGAGTGGAGGCACTGGCTGGAGGGATCGGTGCTCCCCTTTATTGTTTGGACCGACCACCGAAATCTGGAGTATATCCATACGGCGAGACGCCTCAATTCTCGCCAGGCCCGCTGGGCTTTGTTCTTCGCCCGGTTCAATGTCACCATCACCTATCGGCCCGGCCACAAGAACACCAAGCCGGACACACTCTCCCGTCAGTTTGCCCCAGAAGAGGGAGACGCTACTCCCGACACCATCCTGCCTGCCTCGTACGTGCTCGGTGCTGTCACCTGGGAGATCGAGAGGGTGGTACGTGAGGCCCAGCACACCCAACCTGACCCCGGAGGGGGCCCTCCGAATCGTCTGTTTGTTCCTCCGTCCGTCCGCCCCAAGTCCTGCGGTGGGCCCACGACTCCCGTCTCTCTGGTCACCCCGGTATCCGCCGGACTATAGACTGGCTCCGCTGCACCTTTTGGTGGCCGTCTCTCGAAGAGGAGACCCGTACGTATGTGCAGTTACGTACGGGCAGGCCCGCAGTTCTCATCCCAATTATGGAAGGCATTCTGTCACACCCTCGGCACCACGGCCAGTCTCTCCTCAGGATTCCATCCGCAAACTAACGGCCAGACGGAGAGGCTGAACCAGGAGCTCGAGCCCATCCCCAGGTGTGTGACCGCCATTAATCCCTCCTCTTGGAGCCATCACCTCCCATGGGTTGAGTACGCCCACAATTCCCACATGTCAACTGCCACCGGACTGTCTCCTTTTGAGGCCTGCTTGGGCTATCAGCCTCCCCTGTTCCCTAGCCAGGAGGTCGAGGTGGCAGTTCCATCAGTCAAACACAATGCCCGTCATTGTAGACTGGTGTGGAGAGAGACTCGGGTGGCTCTGCTCCGCACGGCAGAGCAGAATAAGAGTGGCGGATCGGCGTCGTGTCCCAGCTCCAGCCTACCGTATTGGACAATCGGTTTGGCTTTCGACCAGGGACATCCCCCTACGTACAGAGTCAAGGAAGCTCTCTCCCAGATATGTCGGCCCCTTTCCCATCAATCCAGTAGCGGTCAAACTTCACCCGGTGTTTCATGTCTCCCTCCTCAAGCCTGTTGTCTCCAGTCCCCTAAATCCTCCGCCAGAACCCCCTCCACCCCCCCCCCCCGGCTCTTCGAGGGGGGCCCCGTCTACACGGTCAATCGCCTCCTGGATGTCCGCCGTCGAGGTAGGGGGTTTCAGTACCTGGTGGACTGGGAGGGTTATGGACCAGAGGAGCAGTGCTGGGTGCCGCGATCCCGGATCTTTGACCCGGGGCTCATACACGACTACCACCGACAGAACCCCGGTAAACCAGGCGGTTCGCCAAGAGGCTCCCATTGAGGGGGCGGGGGGGGTACTGTTAAGATCCCTGTCTGCTCCTAGTGTGTTCTCCTGTTTTTTCCCCGTTTGTTTTGTTACAGAGGGCCATGTGCTTATGTTTTGTTTTTGTGTCAGCCTACAGTTTCCACCCCCGTGTTCTGCCCACTTCACGCCCCTCTCCTTAGGCTCAGCTGTGGCTCATTCCAGTGATCGCCGCTG